AGGGATAGAAGGAGTAAAATTCAAGTCTGCCTGGGTATCTTGGTGTTCGTGGTTTTTTCCCCAGGGAATTGTTGGGGATGATGGCGTGAGATGGGGTCTGTGTTTTCTCACTGCAGAGCTCAAGATGAGCCTTCCTGCTTTGCCCAGCACAGGGCTTTGTGGCAGTTATCAGCCTTCAACTGCTGCTGTTTCCCTGCAGAGCCACGGTGTGCTCCTGTCACATGAGAGGCTGCTCAAACTCCCTGCCCCAAAGTGCTGGTGTGGTGTTGAGCACCCTCATGGGCTGCTAAAGTACCTCTGGAAACAGAGACAGGGGCACTGGAAATGCTGGAGATGAGACATATCCCAGCCCTGCTGCTGCCCAGGGGCAGCAAGACCAGCACAGACCTGGTGGATCTACACAATGAGTTTAAAAGGACCCATCTGCTACTACCATGATACGTTTGAGACATGTTATTGATGAATGGGAAAACAGGAAACCGAGGTTCCCAGAGAAAAGGTGTTACTGAAATATCACCTCTGAGAAGGGCTTGGCAGAGCCTGAGGAGCCGGGAGGCTTCCCGGGCCTGCCCACCAAACCTCAGCTCCGCAGGGCAGGCTGGGACTGGGGCTGGTTTAACGCCTCGTGCTTACGTTAGAGCACGGATGAACAGAAGGCAATAACGACACTTCTGCATGAGGTTTTTCTGCATAATCAGCAGTTTCTGACATCAGGCAGATCGGGGGTAGCCAACATGATGCAGCAACAAGCGTTGGCAGGAGGCCTGTCCCTGGCAAAGTGTCCAATTCTATTTTCATTTGTTTTAGAGACAGTTTCTCACTCACCATATGTGTGCAGCTGGCTCCTGCACCAGCCCTGCAGGTCAGCAGGAATCTTTCCTTGACTCCAGCATCGCTAAAATAACAACCTTCTGTTCTCCAGAGGCGGGAGGAATGGCTGGGAGTGAGGCTCTGTCCTGTGCTATGGTACCAGTGCAGGTGAGTGTCCCCGCTATAGGATGACACATTTAACCCAACCTGTTGTGGGTTAACTGGGATCCCACCACACTGGGGCTGGTCCTTGTGCCCCATTCCCTGTGGCAGGAGGGAGCAGTTTGCAGGGCAGGGAGGGGCAGGCTTCCCCCAGCTCCCTGGGCACCCCCAGGCTCTTCAGTGAGGCAAATGCTGGCGGCAGCAGAGGGCAGATTATTATGCCAGAGCACACGCTGAGGTGTCATGTATATTGAATACATCAAACATTACTGTCTCACCAAGCCTCACACGGACCATTTATTTCTTTAGAAACTGCAGACTGGTCTAGTTTTATATTTCACAAGTCACCTGTAAAATATCTATCTATAAAAGTGTTCCAGGAGCAGGAATTCCTGCAGGGACACGGCAGCCTGCCCTCCTCGTGCTCTGTAGCCTTACCTGCTGAGCTGGGATATCTGTTTGTGCTCAGCACTGCTGCAGTGTGGATTTTAGTTGAGGGTGTGGATGCATATACATCACTCCCTTGGTTTCCAGTGCTACTGAAATCCCAAATAACACCCCAAGCCTCCCCGGGGAGGTGAGAGGACCGGAGGGATAGGGATTCTGAGCGCTGCTCAGGGGATGCCCACGGGTATTGCAGTGCTGCAGAAGTGGGAATTAGTTCCACTTTCTGCTACATAGGTTTTTATTTGATTAGTCTAATCTAGTGCATTATTATTTACCACATGCAAATCTCTCCAAACAGATTAAAGCTGACATTTCAGCTAAGAGGTGAGATCTGGAGAGAAGAAATAAGGAAAAATTATTTCACAAGCTTTTGCACTTCAGATTTGTAGGGAGGATCGATTATGTTTAAAATTTAAAGCCCAGACCTGATCCTAAATCTCCTTTCAGGAAAAGGAACGAATTAATTCCTTAATTTGTTATATTTCAGCTCTACAGGCTGGTTCAGCAAACCCCAAGGGAGTTTGCCAGGACACTTTGTTTTGAATGGTGGTTTTGGATACGGCTGGAAGGCAGCAGTGAATGCAAGGCTGAAAAATACCATGTTAACACATTTATTATCTTTAAGACCTTAAGAATTATGGCTCTCTGAATGGCTCTAGCACCACTGAGCAAGGAGTTGTTTCTGGGTCAGTGGAGGAAATTTGTTAGCGAGCTCTCTGGCTGTCCTTTTCAGCACACACAGTTTTATTTACTGATTTCTGCTGGGGACCAAACTGCGCTCGCTGAGTGCTCGACGTTTATAAAGCACAACCCCCATTTCAAATGAATGGTGACAAAAATGGCCAGCCAGCCTGTGGGAAGTCTGTTTTGCAGTGAGAGAGAGAAAAAGGGAGAGTTTTGCAGTGCTGACATCAGTCCCACAGCAGCTATAGGGACATGGTTATTTTTTTGTGAAACAGGTGTGGAAAGGTTAAAGAGCAACTAAGGGTGTGATTTTCAGAGGTGCAGGTATTTGATGGGGTTGAATGCCTTACAGCCTCCTTCACATGGACCTGTAAATGAGAACCTCCCCATAAAACCTTGCTTACGCTTGCAAAATGGAGATGCTTAGCTCTCCACAAGTAATAGTATTGAAAGCTTTTTCCAGATAGGGGTCAGACCCATTTTCTTGTAAGTGCAGATCCATTCAGAGTGCAAAAGGATTGAACGAAAGGACATCTCAATATTACAGGGTTGTTACTCCAGCTCCAGCCTAAATGAGTTGACCCAGGCTAAGTCTGAGTCGGTGCCAGAAAGCAGGGCTGGAAGTCATAGATCCCTGTACTCAGAGCAGAAGATCACAGTCACAAAATGAGTTCAAAATGTGGCGAGAATGTCAATTTGAGTTCCTTGTTCAGCTCAGATGGAAATGAGATTGACTCAAGTCATTCATCCAGAGCAGGTCTAGCAATGACAGGCATTTAAAACCATCACTGGACAAAGTTCCCCCCCCAAAATGGAATAAGAAGATGTTTCTATTATAAACCAATGGTAACAACTCAGCTGTTATTTTCTTGCCCTCAGCCTTGAGAGCGTGTCTCACATCCCCGTCTCAGCACGTGCCTCAGCGGCCCCTCATGTGCCGCACCACAGTAATTCATCATTACCCAGGCTCCAAATTATTCTGGTGTTGATTAAATTAGTAAATGCAATCACAATCTGAAGCAAGTTAATTGAGAGAATTTATTTGGCCCTGACAGTTTTATGCATGTTTGATTAAGTATTATAAGGTTTGGTTTTGATTTTGCATAATTTAACTTTAAATCCTGCACTGGGGGGGGGGCATCAACTATTAATGACCAAAACAAACTCTTTCAAGATGCATATATTCATGATTTATTCCTAAACGCAGTATCTTCCCGATTTGTTTTGTTCTGTTGCCAAAGTGACAAATATGTTGAAAGTAATATTTTGAGCTGTTGGCTTCACGCTATAAATCTTCGGAAATGTGTACAATTCATTAAAAGTTTTGAAAGAAGTACAAGTTAGAATTTATAGTGCAACAAGTGACATATAAATGTGTATGTTTGTCTTCAGAGCCTGCCATAAAATACATCAGCTCTGGCTGGGTGCTGTGACTGGGACTAATGGCTGCTCTCTGGGCTGATGATAAGTTTCCCCACAAATCTTCGCCGCTGTCACCACAAAACTGTTCAATCAACAGGAATATGAGTTGTGTCTTTAGTAAAATTAGCACAGGGAAGAAATACAGCCCCGAGCGCTGCCGGGTGCTGTGGGCGGGCTCCTTGCATGTGAGCCACCGGCACGCCTTCAGGACCTTACCTCTGTGAATGTCAAAGCTTTACTTCATGCCTGGCCTGAGGACAGGCTGTTCTTTGTGAAGGTACGTGTGCATTTAAAGCAGGAAAGGGGTCGGAATGTTTCAGGCACCTTGCTTTTTTGTCATGCTGACCTAAGAAACCAAACAGGTCAGTTTTGACATGGATGCTGCTGCATCACACCCTTGCACACGTTTAGGTTGTGGGGCTGCTCACTGGAGCTGCCTGGGTGTTTTTGAAGGACAGGAAAGACCTTTCCTACCCCAAGGGGATCCTGCAGGATGCCAGCACCCCCCCTCTGCGGAATTACAGCATCCCCGTCATTCTCCGACAAAAGCAAAGCTGGAAAGCCAAAGTCCTTTCATCATCGTGTTGCTTGGGCTGAAATTCCCAGCCCTGGGCTGTGGCTCCAGTCCCAGGCAATGGCAGAGGGACAAGTGGAACGTGGCTCTCCTGCTTATCTTAGTCACTGAACAGATGTTCCGTTTCAGGCTGTTGAGAAACCACACCAGCTTCGCCTCCCTTCTCCCTCCCAGCAGGCGGTGTGTGGGAGGCACACAACAGCAATTTGTTGGCAGCGCAGCAGCACTTGTTACCTTGCCTGTCATCTCCCTTTGATGCGCACCCCAGGCCCTGCATTGTGCGGGCTGGGCAGAACTGCTCTGCAGGCACAGGGACACACCAGCACCGAGCACGGACAGGGGTGGGCAGCGCCGCGGGTCTCGGCACTGGCAGATGGACCCAGTTATGATTATTTGCTGTTATTCCACACAACAGTGCCTGGACAGCGAGCGGGGCAGGGAGCCAACGAGACACTCCTGTGCTCCTTCCAGGACGGAAGGCCATTCCTAATTCAATTCAACGGAAGACAGCAGGGAGGACGCTTCTTTTCCTCCTCTTTATTTTGCTTTTCAATATTCCTCCACCCGTCTGTTTCGTAGGAACTTTTTGGCTCCTTCTGCGCCCCCCAGACACCTGGGGCTGTGCGTTTGTCATGTTACCGCCTGAGAGCGTTCGAGCTCCTCCAGCGGGGTGAGCACCACGGGCTCTCCCGGGACGCGGACTCCTCTAACGTGCAGCTGCCCCCGGTGCCGGAGCCGAGCTGGACCCTGCCGGCTCCGCACCCCGGCCCGGCCGCCATCAGCCCCGGCGCAGGCCTTGCCCCTCGCACCCAGCCGCGTTACCGGGGCAACGCAGCGCCCTCCCGCTTCCGGCCGGCCTGGGCGGCGCGGCGCGATGACGCCATCGCCGCGCGCCTCCGCGGCCGCTCCCTGACCGTGGCCGCCGCCGCCACCGGCCGGAACCGGCGCGCCGCTGCTCCCCCCCGCACATGCGCATTGCGGCGCTCGCCCGTAGGCCCGGGCCTTCCATCAGCCCGGGCCCGGGGCGCCTGGCCTGGGCGGCCGCCGCACGGCGGGAGGCCATGGGCAGGACGGTGAGTGCGGGGCTGCCAACGGGGAGGACGCGGCGGCGGCGGCGGCCCGGGAATCGCCCTCGCGCTGCCTCAGCCCCTGTTTGCGCTGGGGCCCGCAGCGGGCGGGGGGGGGCAGCGCGAGGGCGCCTTCCGGGCCTCGCGTGGTCCGCGGGGTGGGGGCGGGCGCGGGGCCTGCGCCCGCCGGTGCCGCTGCGAGGCCCCGGTTTCCGGAGGTGGCTGTCGGCCCGGCCCGGGGGCCGTGGCGGCTGTCGCTGCCCGCCCGCGGGGCTCCGCGTTGTCTGAGCCGAGCTTGCGACCTCGCCGGCCACCGGGAAGTCCGGGCTGTGCTTCCTGCCTCCGGTTCTTCTCCGAAGTCGATGCGGTTTAATTTAGGATCGGGTAGGATGTAGGAGGAGTTGGAATTTCCCCTCCTTCCGGCGCTCCCTGCTTTCTGTTATCAGCACTAACCTTTATTTGTCATTGTCCCTAACCTCCTTGGGCTCCTGGAACACTTGGGTCCCGTGGGACCTGACTGATGGGCCTGTTTGTGACCGTGGAGGCCCTTCCATCATTCCTCCTCCTCCACGAAGTACCCGAGTAACAGCAAACCTGTCTGGAATGTGAGATGGATGAAGGGAAGCGGGGCTGGGTTTCCATAGCTTCCTCCTCATCCACTCCATTTTGAAGGAGAGGAAGTGAAAACTCACCCAAGTGAATAATTCTCGGATTTATAACCTCCTGATGAGGCCGTTGTCAATGTGATGCTTTGGGTGACAGCAGCATGGCTGACATGGGTTGCTCGGGCCTTAGAGTTGAAATCCTTTGAGCTGTAGGGTGACATCCAGAAGAGCCTGATGCAGCTTTGCAACCTCACAGCAAGGTGCTTTAAAACAAAAGGGTCCCTAAAAAGATGATCGTGAGGAACTGGGTGTCCAGATCTGTATCTAGGCATTGTGTGCCAAAGTACAGCCTGGGGGGAGCTGCTTTTCCATGTTCTGTTTGGAAGATGCTGGCAGTGGGTGCTCTGCATCGTGTTTCCTACACCCTAGATGGATGTTGATGGCTCTGTGGTAGGAGAAGGGGACTGACAAGAGTATTTTGTGATTTTCCTGTCTTTATCCGGCATTGAGTACAAGCTGGGTGATTCTCTCTGGCACATCTCAGCAAGCTGTAAGACGTGTTATTGAGTGTGGGATTTCTCTGGGAATCCTTATGGTATTAACAGTTTGTGCTTGGGGAGGGGCCTTGTCATTCGGAGCTTTCTGACACACAAAATGAGCAAATTGAAACTCACTCTCTTGTTTTATCTTTTAGATCAACTCATATGTAGAGTGTTGTGAGTCTCTGAAGCACCTTAGCAGTTTGTTTCCCTCTTCCTAGAAGGCCAGGTGTCCCAGGAAAACCTCACTTGTCTTGGCACGAGAATTAAGTGGCCTCAGGACCGGCAGTGGATTCCTGACCTCCTGCTGAGTGGCTGCAGCACCCTTAAAATGTAATATTTCAGAGAGTTTATTTTATTCTGACCATGTCCCTCTGCTCGTGGCTGTCCCAGTGTTGGTACTGGAGTTTGTCTGAAGAGCATGAACCTGCCAAAGGCTTGTTGGTTATTTGGTGGGCAGAGTACATGGGAACAAGCTGCTGCTGTTCCCAACAGTAACTCTCCACAGCTGAGCTGTTCAAGTGCTTCTCTTGGGTTCATCTACTGAAGGTTTTATCAGGATGAAAACTCTTCCAAAGCAGGGCTCAGACATGAAGCCAAGGTATTGAGTTCACCCCCACAAACTGCACCTTAGGTGGGCAGGGTTTGGCTCCTCACACAGGCACAGTGGTGCTGAGTGCTCTGATTTCCCTGTGGCTCTCAGGGACTTGGATTCGGGAGCTGTGTAAGAGTTTGCTGGAAATGTTAACTGCCCTTTGTGGCCTGGAAAAGGGGTTGGAAGGAGGCTGCATCAATAGAAGCTGCATGTTCTGAGTCCCGAGTATGAATTTTAACCTCTCTTGCTAATTTAGTCCTCCAAAAATACCTTTAAAAACAAACACAGAGCAGTATATACAGAGCATGTGAGAAGCATGTTTGGTTGCAGGCTCCAGGCGCAAAACTGTGTTGATTTTAAGTAGTGTTGGTTTAGTATCTGACCAAATTACATGTCTTGCAAAATACATTCTTGTAACACACTTCCGAGCTGATGGTATTTCCTTTCTGCAGGCAGGAAATTATGGGCAAGCAGCGCTTAAAATTACAAGGGTGTCTTTGAGAGCTGAGAACAGACCTCAATTTCCTAAATTCCTTAATCATAAGTTAATCCAGGCTCCTTTTTATTCACCCCTGATTCATGCAGAGCCAGCAGGTTGCCTGCTGATTCCTGGCAAAAAGGAGTTGGAACCTGGGGCCACGCAGAGAGCAGAGCTGCAATTTCCATTTGCAGGGAATTTGAGGTAGGAAGCAGTGAAGACTTGGGCAGTGGTGCACATTGAATCAGAAGAGGGGTTTGCTATCAAAGTGCAGTTTCCTGCCACCTCGTCATTTACTCTGTGATGAGTTTTGTTAGTAGCAAAGTAAAACTTCTTGAAGTCCCTTTCATATTAGTTTTCATTTGAAGTGTAGTAGGATTTCTAGTTCAACAAAGGCAAGATCTGCCCAGCTCTGCAGCCTGGGTGTGCGAGGAGGCCAGGGAAGTCCCTGTTGTTTTCAGCATTATCTGATGAGTGCATTGTCATTGTATAATTCCCGGAATTTGGCACATTGTGAGCCTGGGGTGAAGCAGAGAGCAGCTAAGGGGCTACTGCTCATCACTCACACAACAACAATGGGTGTGTGGAAGGATGTTAAGATTATAAATCCTAAACACTCCAGAAGATCAAGATAATTTCACTTATCTCTGCAGGTCCCAAAGGGAGAAAGAAACTAGTGGATGTCTTTGAAAGGCTGTTTGCCATGGGAGGCAGTGACAGGCAGAGCAAGGGGAGGTACATCCTGCGGAGTGTGAAAAACACGATTGCCTCATTGTTCCTGCAGGACCTGCCATTCTTTTCAGTTTGTTTATTTGGTGAAGCTTTGCCAAGTTTAGAAATGAGCTGAAATCCAAACTCACCGCTGGGGCTGGGCGGTGGAATTCACTTGCAGAAGTACCTGGAAAACTGGTATTCTCCTTTCAAAGAAACATGAATTAATATTACATTATTCCATTAATATTACTACTCACATGGGTGGAGTGCTGCAGCGTGGCTCTTTGGTTAAGAAGGATCTGTGATTTATTCCAGAGCAAAGTTGTTCCCTTTCCTGCGGTAACACCGTGGAGCTTCTAACAGGTTACAACTAGTGCTGACATTGCAGGTGACTAGGGAGCTGTGTGCAGTCTGACTTGGTACCTCTGTATGGCTGGTAAACAGTAACCAAAGAAGCAAAGTGAAGTTGCTGAGTTTCACAAAGCAGTTGTAAGTCACGGCTGAGCCTGGAGTATCTGCTGTGCTGCTCTCCTGCTGCTGGGGCTACTTAAATGTGTTTTCCTTCTCTGCCTTCCTGCAGGTCTCTTCCTTCCTGGAAATTCAGCAAAGAGTTAGCGTTCCTGGGCTGTTGGAGCTCTTCCATGTTCATGGATAATATTTGATATGTGCCCTGTAAATCCTGCCCTGGGACTCGGTGACCGGTGGGGTGCCTGATGCCGGTAATCCCCATTCCCCGCCGGGTCCGCTCGTTCCACGGCCCCCACACGACCTGCCTGCACTCGGCCTGTGGCCCGGTGAGGACCACTCACTTGGTGCGTACCAAGTACAACAATTTCGACATCTATCTCAAATCCCGATGGATGTATGGATTCATCCGTTTCCTGCTGTACTTCAGCTGCAGCCTGTTTACCTCCATCCTCTGGGTGGCACTCTCTATCTTGTTTTGCCTTCAGTACCTTGGCATCCGGATCTTTCTGCGTTTCCAGTACAAACTCTCCATCATCCTCCTCTTACTGGGGCGAAGGCGTGTAGACTTCAGCCTCATGAATGAACTGCTCATCTATGGGATTCATGTGACCATGCTGCTAGTGGGGGGGCTGGGATGGTGTTTCATGGTATTTGTGGATATGTAAATAAAACAAGCGCATGTGGGCTCAGAAGGTGACTCTTCTTCTACCCCCAAACCTGTCGATAGCCTCTCTTGTTTTTTATATAGATTAATTTATTTAGCAGTGCTACTTTTTATGGATGAATTAACCCCCTTGTCTCTTCAGTTTATATCTTTTTGAGGACTGAGGTGCCATTTTGGTGATCAAAGTGCAACACTCGATGGGGTGGTTTTTTCTTTGCACAGTGCAAGTTAATATAAGTGTCCCTAGTTCAGAGGAGCCTCGTGCTGCTGTGCCTGTATTCCTGTGGGCATGGAAAAGGCAGGGTTTATCTGGAGGACAGAAGCCAGATAATTGTGCACCCCATGCTCTTGATCCAGCTTCCCCCTTTTTCTAAGAATGTTCCTTAATGTCTCAGGCATGTAACATGCATCCTGCTCGACTGTAATCTGCAGTTTGCATATTTCTAGCTAAGAATATGGGGCTAAATTCAACAGTGTAGGGGTTTGGCTTTTTCCTGTTTTGATTTGTGCAAGATGTGTATCTGACCCACTGTGCTGTTCTGTTCGCTTTAATGTAATTCTATAGCTTTGGATGGCTTTGTCCTTTTCAGGCAGTTAGTGCTGAGTAATTGAGTCTTACCCTAATAGAACAAATCCACGGGAGTGATGGGAGCAGAGCTTGGCATCATGTGCTCTTGAAATTCCCTGTCATGGCAAATATGTTCTCATTTTAGGTGATTAAGGGGAACCCATTGCACTGGTCCTTAGCATCCAGATCTTGGCATTTGGTTCTGCTTTCCCCTGAATTGATTAGTTCCAGTTTTCTTGCAGAGGTACTTCTGTCCCACGGAGTATGGTGAGATGGGGCTGTCATACCCAGGAGAGGTTGAAAGCAGAGTACAGTCTGAAACGGCAGTATCTGCAGTTACAGAAAGCATTCTCCTGCCTCTGCAGGAGACCTTTGCTAACAGCTCAAGAAGGGAGTTAAGCATTAAGCTCAGTTTTACTGGTCTTGATCAAAGACATCAGACTCTTCCTCTGCAGGCAGTCAAGTGAGTTTGTTTACAGAGGCCAGAAGCTGGCCTAAAGTGTTTTATTCTGGTTTTGTTGTTTTGTTTTTCCTTATGATGGAATATTGCTCTTTTCCCTGTGTTCTTTGAAGAACTGTTTAAAAACAAATTGGTAAAAGTGATGGCTACCCTCTTCCCCGAAATCATTGGAGTCAATCATAGTGGAATAAGCAAGACTGGAAATATGTGACTGTTCTTGTATGATCTCTTTGGTCTGAGACATAAATGTGGTTGAGAACAAAGCCAGTTTGCACACAGAGAAGGATGCTTCATATTTCAGCTTGTGAGTACTGCAGTCTTTTGCTGACTTACTTTGATTTGTAGGCTTAATGGATGCAAAGTAAAGGAGCTGCTGTCTGAAGCCCAAAGCTAAAGCAAACCTAGAAACTGTCTTATTATCAAGTGTTACAGATAATGCAGAGCTGGGTAAATGACAGGCCGTGGCAGTGTGAACTTTAGGTTAGCCCCACGAGAGCCAAAGGCTGTTTCTGCAGGAAAGATGCAGTATATCAGCAGATGTCACAAACTGGTGTCTGGAAGTTTCCTCCCAACTGTGGAGCTCCCCAGAGCTTTGTTCTGGGATTGGTCTCTGGGCTGCAGGTCCTCATGCGCTGTACGTGTGAGCTACAGCTTGCTCTGTGGGCAGAGAATTCCCAGTAACTCCCAGCCCAGTGCTTCCTTCCCCAGTACAGCTGTCAGCCCAGGGCATTGCAGCTCTGCTCTGCAGACTGTGGGACTCTGCGTGGCTGTGCTCAAGCGTTACTGGAGGAAACACATTACAGATGGCCAGCAAATAGCCCTGGTGTGAGCTGAGAGGCCAACAGGACCCCAGCGAGGCTCAGCTGAGAGCAGCTTGCCCTTCACAGGAGGCTCAGTCTGAGGCTGGATGGTAGGACCTCCTTTCACCTTGAAGTGGCTGTATTTCAGCACTCGTTAGAATCATAGAATCCCAGACTGGTTTGGGTTGGAAGGGACCTTAAGGCTTATCCAGTTCCAACACCTGCCATGGGCAGGGACACCTTCCCCAGGATGCTCCGAGCCCCATCCAGCCTGGCCCATAATGATGAGTGAAAGGGTGCTTCGTGGTACATGCGGGCCCTGCTGTGCTCCCTACCCATGTCAGCTCAGCTGGTGGGTGCCCTGTGATGGGTGCCCCCAACTGCTTGACCAAACCAGTGGTAGTTTGGTTCAGGCTTCTGGAGGAAGTAAAGGTCGAGGCTGTGACCGGGTCGTGAACTTCTCCAGTTCCAACCTGTCCTTTGAAAACCCACACAGGAACAGGGTGACACTGAGAGCTTTGATGTCTGTGAGCCTGGAAACCGGAACACTGATCATGCGATTAACACATGAATAGCAGGTGGTTATTCCAGGGCTGATTTGGTCACGGAACAAAGGAGGCTGTGGGTACAAGGACTCTCATACTTACCTTTTCCATCCCATGTAATTTGACTATGAGCCAACTGCCTTATTGAATAAATGTGACCCTGAGCTTTTTCTGAGCTCTCCCTGCTAAGCAGCTGGCTGCATGGCAGTGATGCCCTCTTGAGTTGGGATGTTTCTCAAGGTTAAGAGACCCCTCACTAACTGCAGATCTTTGGTAAGTGACTGATGCTGCTCCTAACCTTGTATTACAGGGCAGTAAAATCCTGCGTTGGCAACTTTGAATCATTATTATGTCCTGTGTGCAGTAAGTAGTAGATTGACCCTTCCCATCAGACTCCGTTAAGCCCCACTTTAACACCTTACTTCAATAAAACCACTTTTGCTGCTACTTTTGGCAGTGGTTCTTTGAGCAGCCCATATCTGCTACATGATGCTCCTGTAATGACCAAACAAGGGCTTCTGCGTTGTTGTGGTTTATTGCTTTACTGCACAGACTTCCCACCAGCCCTCCTCATCCTGATTCAATAGTGTGTATTGAGGAGAAAGTACATGTCCTTATCAAACCACAAAAAAGGAACATTTGCCAAATGCCCAGATGTTCCTCAAGAGAGGACTTGGAGCCAGGTTGTGCAAAAGACAATGGGAAATGATTCCCTAGTTGTCTTTTGCAAAGGCAGCCAAGTACCTACTCTCCCAATGCCCTGAATCTTGAGTCTGTAGTGGCACACCAAGGTAGACAACCCCAAGGTTCAATGACTGAGAAGGAGGCCTCAACTATGAAGTTCAAAATACTCCATGCTTGGTCATTACCAGCACATGGACATCTTGCAGCGCTTGGGTGATGCGATCCTACCAGTGTAATGGGGAATTCGTGTTCCCTTCGCGGCCATGCTGGCAAGGCAGAGGAATTAACTTCCAAATCATTTGGCTTATGATGTAATAATGGGAACACTTTAGATCCACAGGAGTGGAGCAGTGTTTGGCACCTTCCTGGCACTCTTCAGAGTGTTTTCCAGCAGGAGCTCATTAAGCCTCACACATCCCAGGAGGCTGCAGGATAAGCAGGGTCTTGGGAATAGTTCCGAATTTAAATTCAGTGGGTTTAAATTTGAGATTTTAAGGGGGTTTTTGAAAGCTTTGGGGATAACTTTGCCAAAATGTTTTTTTTCTCAAGGAGCTGAGATTCTTAAACTTTCTTATAAGCTCAAGGGGAGCCTCAGCTGAGGGAGAGAGAAAGAGGTATGAAGTATATGCCAAGGAAAAGCTGGTGAGGTTTTTCCCCATTTAATTGAAAAACCTGGCATGTTTAATAAGGGGGGGAGCAAAACTTCATAGAATACAAATAAGGAAACAGAGGAAGCTGAACTTTCCATTTCCTTTCATGTTTGGGCTTTAAATCTTGCTATGACATTTACTGGGTTAAAAATGACCTCAAGAGTAATTGGGAAAAAAGACCAGAAATACTGATTTGGGAGAGTGCAGCCATCTCAGACCCACACCAACCCCTCAGGAGAGCTTCCTGCTCGCTCCAGAGCATTCCAGATGTTTGGGCAGCAGAGTGGCTGGGGCTGCGTTGCAGACTGCAGCCCAGGGGTGAGGATATGTGTGGTGGCAAAACTGCTTTAGCCTGTTGTTTAGCCTGGGAATGCATGAACGAGACTGAAGTGCTGGAGTTTCACCTTGTTAAACGCTGCAGAACATGGCACCAGCTGGTGTTTTGGGTGCCTGTTAAATTCTGTATGAAACATGCCACCTACATTAAACTTACTTTTTTTTTTACCATGTTGATGGATTGATTGCTTGGGAAGAAAAAGGAGGAATTTTGTCTTGTGATGCTGGTATCGCTCTGATGTGGGGATGTCCAAGAGCCTCTTCCTCTGTTTGAGCTGGTGCAAACAGTCAGAGCAAGTGCATGGTGAGCAGAATCAGGCCCTTTGTGGTCATGTGTCAGAAGCATCACTGAAAGTGTGGTGAAATGCTTCTTTTTACCTCCTCGAAGGGTCATTCAGTGATGGCTTAGCCTCAGATGGCTTTGGCTCTAGCAAGCAGACAGTATGGTCCACTGCGGGCATTTGAGTGGTTGGAAGGAGCTCTCACTTCACACTGAGGTGCACATCAACTAATGAAGGTGCTCTATTTCATCCTTTTCTTGCATGGAGGTGAGCTTGCAGTGCAGAGCTGCATTGTTTCAGGACACAGTGGTGATGCTTCTTATGGGATTAAAGAGGAATATTTCTACTGTGATGGGCTTTGTAATTCCTATTGTTCTTATGTGGAAAGTACTACAGTGATGTGCAGCAGCATAAAACCCTAACAGGTGCTGGATGGAGCTTGTTCTCTGGTGACTGGCAGGGCGAGAGCCAGGGGAGGCACCGGCTTCAGAGAACCAGCATGGGGGGGGAACTGAAGAAATACTTGTGTGGATAGAGCTGCCCACATCCAGGTGTGTATGAGATGCTCCTTGCTGTTATCCCAACATAACGGTGGAAGGGTCACAGTGAAGGACTTGAAAGAAAGCGGAAGGAGGTTTCCAGAAGAGGTAATGATTTGGGCAAGGGTGGGTGTATTTGCATGTTCAGTATTGCATAGGAAATCGTAAGCGGTGCTCTGAAACGTGGCTGATGTT